ACGCTCTCAAATTAGTGTTATATCCCCCTCATAGTTCTTAGTCAGAGAATCACATAGTCTTACAGTTCATCCTATCACCACAAACTAAATTCAGACATTCTAACAGCTTCCTGATGCTATGATCAATACCACACTATTCTAAATCTTTATTGTTATATAATCACCCTATTTATTTTATGTTTATATTGTTGCACCTGCAGTGGAGTACTTTCAAACATGCGTGTACTTGAATCACGTAGGTACACATTAAAAATCAGAGGCTCTCGGGCTTTTGTTGAGACAAAATAACCTTATTTCACTCAACTGAATTATCTCTAAAATATCTAATAATAAAATCCAGGAGGTACGGAAAGCTGGAGGTACAGTATAGGCTCATTTTGAATAAGAGTTACTTTCTACTTTGCAATTTCTTCTTGCTTTCCTCCCCACAATGCCCTCCTCTCTCTCTTTCTCTCTCTCCATCCTCACCCCTCCTCTCTTCATTCAACTCTATTGCACTCTTTTCATTGCCCTGCTCACGTATTGAATCTGCCTGATGAAAACAGATCTCACTGCAGCACCACAATAGAATGGCTGATGCAGGAAAGATGAACCCTAATGGATTTTTTTTTCAGTGTGCTCAAGATTGAATATAAGGCCTGACCTCCAGATGTAGTGGATCCATTTCAACAGCAGAGATATAGTTTATAGTGAAGATACAGAAACACATAGACACGCAATGTCAACAGCGGCAGCAGTAGCAGAAACCACTTTACATCTACATATAGTGCTCAAAAACAGTACCAAAACAGTCTAAAATTAAAATGAACCCATGTTATTTATCTAGCCATGCCAAGTATGGTATTTATAATGATAGCATCTCATGTTTGAACTGCAGAGTTTGCTTAATTACCCTGCTCAACAGACTGTGTCAAGGTGAGGCACCAGTTTAATAGACACTCTGTTCTAAGCACAGATGATCTGCTGCTACAGTTTGGCACCTTTGCCAGGGAGACTATTTGATTTAGAAATGTCTGAGTTTGCTTTAAATGCTTCATTTTGCAGTGAAGTTGAAACCGTGCTTTGAAAAAGATCTATTAAATGTTTAAGGAGGTACTCTCAGTGCATGTTAGAAGCAAGATTTGCAAAATGTCATTTTTAAAGGACCACTGATCAGCTGGTTAAAATATCTTTGATTCTGTGGTTGTAATTTATCCTACACTATCATAATGTCTTTTTCTTAATATTTTTACTTTATGTCCCCACTTTCAAAACCAAAAACACCATTTAAACCACCTGGGCCTGGGTATCAGAACAGCAATCACCAGCAGCTGTATTAGAGGTTGAAATATATAGTCATTGTGTGCCAGCTGAACATTTCAAATCTCATGCATTTTTATCACCTAACCTGCAGTATTCAATCTATTAAAACCACCGAGTGTGGCCCTCTGTAGCAATAACACTGCCGAGCCAAAGACTGGCCAATCAACCACTGTCTCCACAGTAAAGGTCATGACCAAAATGTGAAATGAATATGAAGATAAATGGCACATGAATCCAATACCTATGGGAAACATTCCAACTATGTAGCATGTTTATATTTCAGATCTTTATCAAGCCATATTTTGGCGATTTGCTGACTGTTGTTCAGCCGTATCTATTCTGTTTATAATGAACATTATGATACATGCCTGACCTTGATATGCATTTGTATTTAATGTATACAGCGTATCATACATGCTGTTTTCTTTGCATTAATCTACAATAACCATGCTGCTGCCATGTCATTCCTGATGATGCCTCTGATAGTCTATAACAATATAAAGCATGTGTTCTGTATTACGAGCTGCCTACTGGTAATCCATTAAATTACCAGAAAGGCACAGCTGGTGCAGTTATTCCTGTATCTGTCAATAACAAGTAAATTATGAAGCTATAAAATTCCGACCTTTAAACCCTGAACATAAAAATTGTTATATATGTTAATATTGTTGACCATATGTGCTTTTTCTTTAACCAAGTCATTTTAACTGCCGCAATCAATAAAAACCATTCACATCTGTCCATATTTGAAAGGGGCACATTAAATTCAGTCTGACACTATGTAACATAAATGTTAAAAGAACACTTTTCAGTGCATGTCCACTACTATTTACATTTTGGATGGTGAATATGATTCAAAGAGCAGGCATTAATTTAAACTTCAAGCTCAACCTAAACTTGAATATTGAACTACACTTTGAGAACTATATGTACTGTATGCTATAAGAGAGGCCGCTAATTAGAGAGCCTTTGCTTACTGCAGCTTATACATTATGTTTCACGAATAAGCTTTACATATATCATTAGTTGTGAAAGAAACCTGCTCTATTTCCTGCAGTTCTCATGAATGCAATTATGGTTTGGAGATGCTAATTTGTGGAGGAGCAGTTCTGTGTGGCGCTCAGGGAGTAATCAGTGTGTATTCATGTTTGAAAGCTTGACAGATTGACCGATGCAGGCTGTCGAGGTAGATATGATGCTGATGGATTTACCCACAATCCCTTTCTCCATGCATCTGAGCTGACACGGCACGGAACCACTGAACAATTATTCAGTTCCTCCACTTAGCCTTCATGTCTTGAAAATTACATTTACCTTACAAGGTTGTAATTTGTTTCAGAATAGAAAACAGTGGCTACAATAGTGCTGACATCTTTTAAAAGGCTCTTTAAGAAGTTTTGAAATGTTCTATAAGCTTTGAAAATTATCTCATCATTTTTTCTTTCATAAACTGCAGTGTTCTATCTGCTTTGGTGTAGTTTGCCCTTCTTTCCTCCTGAGGTTCTGTATAAAAAATCTTCGCTGTCTTACTATTTTAGTATAAGTCAGTACAGCTGACCAAATTATTTTCCCAAATCTAAGATTAAGTTCAAACCTCTTTCCTCTGAAGCATCAAATAGTTCTTATTGTAATCAGAGGCTTAAATTCGCCAAAGGATTTCAAACTGTAACAGAAAAAACATCCTCTGACTCCTTAAAAATCAACATTCTGCTGTTGTGAGTCCCCATAGGATGGATGAGTCCATGTAGTGCTACTCACCGAGGGCATTTGGCTGGAAACAAGATGGGTGTCCTGTGCCAGCATGTTAGACATCATGAGTGTGGGCAGCTCTGGGTAGGAATACGGGTTGATGAGCCCATTGTGTGGCAGCGAGTGGCAGAGGTAGCCTGTAGAGTCATGCTCCATCAGGTGAAGAGGAGGAGGCTCGGGGTGGTTAGGCGGAGTGATGGGGGGGATCTCGTAGTCTTCGTCCCCTGCTCCATTTCCACTGGTGTTGCCACCACCTCCGCCTCCTCCACCGCTGCTACCAGTCTGACCTGTATAGCTCTGAGTGATGGGAGAAACAGAAAAAAATATAAAGTGAGAAAGATTAGGTTTGATGAAGGCGTGACTATAAGCAGACCAAACTGAAGCTAAGTCAGAAGTGATATCTGCTGTATATGGGTTGCACATGTAAACATTCAGGAGGACATTTACTAAGGTTTTGCAGCTCATTTTCTGGCACTAAACAGTGAAGTTAGTTGTTTATATTTACTAAGTGGGGTTTTGCGGTGGAGAAACAGAAGAAATGCGGCACCACAGGAATTTATACGTTTGGTCTCTTGAAGTATGTACAGTATTTTAAGGTGTTTCTGTTCAGGGAAGCAACAATCGGGTAGGAGAGAATTGACATTTATACAAATACCCTCAGCACCTGTTTTTCCACCATTGAGATAGAGGGAAACTGTGGCTGAAATTTAACATCAGGAGAAAGCAGGTGTAAAATTTGTGGCTCTGATATGAGCATGTCAGCTGTTGGTCACCTGAGATCTGTCAGAGTTAAGAACATGTTTGAGGAAGGAGTGGGTGTTTGTAAATCGCATCGCTCGCCAGAGGAGAATGTGAGGGACTTCTACAAGCTTTAAGGTGACCTCATCCTTCAATTACTGAAGGACATAAAAAATAATTTGACTGGCAGGAGACTACATGACTGAGGTTCTGAAATGTGTTTGTTGATTTCTTCAACCTCATTAAAGTTTGGTAACCATAAACTTTGACTGTTTTCTACACTTGAGACCCATGTTGACTCGTTGCTGCCTCTTGGTCCACACATGCACAGCAACCTTCAGGCAGCAGATCCTGAAGCGGAGGTGTGTTCAAATTAACACAGCTGAAGCTGTGCTCATTTACATCATCATTATTGGTAAATACGTGACTAAATAAAAATAAAATAAAACATTGCAGAACAGCAATATTTAAATATCCCCCCTAGTTCGCAGTTCAGTTCTATAGCAACCTTTATAGCTGAAGTTCTTGGGCACCACAGTATTTAGAGCCATTTACAAAACCAGAATAGCAGAAAAAATAATTTCTTAAAACCAACATCAAGAAAAACTTGTAGTTTTGTTAAAATCAGACTTTCTGTGTTGTGGAATCAGAATTTTGAGACTGTAATTTGCAGTCAGAAAAAAAAACTTTTTGAGTGGGCCTACTGCAGATAATTTAAGGATACCACCTTGCCACCTTTATTGGCCAAGTATGTTACACACAAGGAATTTGGCTCTGGTACAGAACCGAGGCAGCCATCTGCGGTGCCACCTCAACCGATGGCTCTAACCATCGGGGGTAACTTGGGGGTTCAGTATCTTGCCCAAGGACACTTCGACATGTGAACTGCAGGCACCAAGATTCAAACCTCCGACTCTCCGGCTGGGAGTCAACTGCTCTACCCACTGTACCATAGTCACCCCCATTTTACAAATATCTGTGTGCTTTTTTAAAAAAGAGTAAACCAGTACTTCTTCTGACCCTCTAGCAAGAAAATGTTCTTCACCTCCTCTGTGATTATTCTTTTTGTATATGTGAACACCTTGTTATTTATCACTGCTAACTCACTGTAGCATGGCAACTAAAATATTTGACTGACTTGCTACGAACTGTGTTGTAAACTCAACTATTTATTGTGTTAACATCTTGTCAACCAAGAACCTCAGTTTCCTGCAGTTCTACAAAAGGCATACAACATGTTTAAATTCTAATCTGTCATTTTGTTAGAATAGGTGTAATTTTGTTGCAAATGTTGAATGTCTCATTTTGGAACAAAAACACAACGCTCAGTGATCGGTAATAAAGAAGACCAACAGCCTCTGTATTTGTGCGCTGTCACACTAACACAGTAAGTCCAATCAGATCAGAGTTCTGCACAGAGCGAGAAGAAAAGAAAAATAGCAGGGAAATTCAACGGGGGAATGAAAAGCAATTTTGTCTGAGACGATCTGACTTGACTCCCATTGTAATGACTGAGTCAAATTAATCATCACAAATAATATTCTGGTGTCAGCCATTCAAGGGTTTTTTAATAGATTTTTTTATGAATCATGTCTAGCAGTATACATCAAACAGTCAGTTCTGCAACATTTCTGAAATCAATTCAATATCATCTTTGTGTAGGCTGTCATCCTCGGCAGCAGAGTGGTCATTTATCTCTCAAACACATACTTTTAGAAAATGAGGGGCATGGTGAGATGGAGAGAAGGAGAAAGGATACAGAGCACTTTTGTTTCTCTCAACACTATCTTAGTATCAAGGTGAGTGTAAAAGCCTATTTTGTAATTTCTTGATGATATAAATTATGGGTGTATTAAAATCCACTTAAATAGGAATTCTTTTGCTGCTAGGAATTATAAAAGTAGACTTGTTTTCCTGACAACAGTTTGTCTGCCAAGGAAATATTAACAATATAAATGTAGTTAATTCTGAGGCCACAAAAGCTTTAAATTCTTGAGTTTGAGCAGTGGAGCCTGATTTTGCCTTTAAGTACATAGCAAAAGGACAATCTCCTTTTTCTTAACAAGAAAGGATTAAAATGTGTCTGATGTGCAAAGCCAGATGAGAACAATTTCATTAAGTTACAATAGCCAGAACAAAAAACAAACATCTTTAATTTGACCACAAAAGAAAGATGTTAGCAATGTTTTACTGTGCGGCAAGAATGCAGACACAGACTCGGCATTAAAAGCACACTTTCATCTTCCTACATGTTACATTGAATTTAAAAAAAGAGAAAAAGAAATGCCCTACTTTGATTTACTTTGTCCTGACACAGCCTGCAAGCCAGTTGATATTAATTTTCTGGACCGTCCTTTGAAGACAGATGTTTTTGTAAACCTTTGGGGATAGTGTTATTGTTTGGTCTAATGGGCAAGAAAACGAACATTTCCTGAGATTCAATTTCCCTCATAATTGTTGGAAGGAAACTAAATTGTCTGTTGTAAACATCAGAGCCATTGTGTGAAGTGAGTCCCTGTGCATGTCCGTTGGAGCCTTTGCAAAGCTGTTATCTTTCACTGTGCCTCACTGAGACTTTGGATGACCACTGTGTAATGCAAAGGCCACCGCGCTTAGTCATCCTCTAGCATGTTCATCAACCTTTTGTTTTTGCGGTGTATAAATATATGTCCACGCTACAGAAACATTTTCCTGGTCCCATCTATTGCTTTTGACTGTGCAAATGGGGACAGGGACTGAGGATGTGTCATGTGGAAGATTGCTGTGAAGGCTCATCCAGTGCCCTTGATGATAAAATGTAAATACCAAGGACATTCCCAGTTGGATTGTGGCAAGATAAATTATTCATATGCCTCTATTCAGAATGAGGCTGCATGTACAAAACCATGTGTATGCTATGGCTAATGTATACTCCTTCCTCCTTTAAAAGTTAAATCCAAACAAAGGCAATGTATTTGATGGATTGTACAGACAAGTATGTGTCCTAGTATGGAACTGGCTTTTCAAACAAAAGCCTCCTCCTCTTCTTCTTTTTTCCTTTGAGGCACTTGTCGTTGGTTTACTTTCCATAGTCAGCCACACTCATACTAAAAGCTGCATTACACTGATTCTATTTTCTCACTAAAGCGTTCTTTATTTTCCTCCTCTGATCAATACCGCACACAATAGCGAACATTATTTCCAATACACAGTATGCTCAATCTGCACAGTGACTGAAACACAATCTGTAACATTTTAATTATGAGACAGATCTCTCAAGTGTAAGTGTTACATACCAGCACACCTTTCATTTGAAAGAAACAGATGAATAGACAGTTGGTCTGGGACTGAAAGAGAAAATAACATTGATTGGGGAGCTTTCCAGCTTGTCTTTTATTTGGCACAGCTCTCTCCCTCCCTCTGTAACACTGCCTGAGTATTCAAGGCCTTCTGGAGATGATATTGACTGTGGCTAATAGCTCATTATCTGTACATTCCTCTGCTTATTAGATTACTGTTGTGATGCCCGTAGAAACTACAATCAGGGCATAACCCAGTTAATAATAAACTCTATATTTATTCAATAAAATGTTCTGTTGTCAAATATAATTTACAATAAAAAGCAAGTTAATGTTTAGAATTTGTAAAACACCACATGATTTTGTCCTAATGTTATATTTACAGTTGAAACGATTACTCAGTGAATTGGTAGAAAATAAATCAGTAGCCATTTTAATGATTGATTAACGATTTAAGTCATTTTGCAACATTTTCTGAAATGTGAGGATTTGCTGCTTTTCTATATATTGGAAGTTTTGGACAGTTGGTTGGCTCAGCTTTTTTCACAGTTTTTGGCATTTCACAGTGTAAATGGTTATTTAGTTCCACAGTGAAATAAATCCTTAGTTGCAGCTCGTAATATTTGCTGATTTCCTTGTACCGTATACTGCGTAAATAGAAATGTCATTATACTAACATTTTTTTGACGGGTAGCTCTGTCACCGTTTTCTGTGAACATTCTCTTACAAATTATCTACCTACACATCAAGTCACTCATTGAAGGCATTGGTCTGAAGCTAAATTCAGGCCGGTTGCTAGTGTGCCACATAGAAGAAGAGTTTGGAGTCCTCCCAAGTCAGCGTTTGTTTCAGGGAGAGGGCAGGACCGACAGGCGATGACAGATCTGCCTTACCACTAATGTGCACTTATCTGCCTATTGGAGAGCTTTGTCACAGTGGTGATTTATGTTTAAAATCCCCCACACACACTACTGCTTCCATCACCTCCGACACTCTTCGTTCCAACACCTTCCCATATCCGCTGCGCAGCACTCTGCACACAGAGACAAAGTCAGGCCCCCTTATCTCTCCTTTCCATGCAATCCAGTTTGCAAAGAAAACTGTGGATTTATCTCTGGGAAGAATTTGAGAGCATCATCTGTTTTCATTCACTCTGTCATCGCTCTCCCACAGAAAGATTATACTTTATATTTATGAATGATCCTGTTTACTAGTGTACACAGAGCTCTTGTTTTAACATAACACTGCAGAGACAAATAGTGCTTGTTGGACTACAAAGAT